GTTTCCATGTCTCCATAGTGCTAGTGGTTCAAACCACCCTATGTACCGAACCCTACGTAGGTGGTACCGCATCTAAGCCTGTTCAGAAGCCTTCCTCTTCCTCGCGGAGACCTCCGGCTGCTGCTGCTGCTGCTGTTCACCGCTGCCACCACAGCCCCGGCGAAAGTTCCCGAGAAGCTTCGGTAGGCCGTGGATATCCAACCCCGCGAACCCCGCCCCCGCCGTCTCCCGCTCGCCTATGGCGACGACGGCGGCAATGATGTCCTTTTGCACGTCCTCGCTCACGACGCTGTCGTGTTGGTAGCCCGGGTGGACGTCGACGAGGTTGCGGAGCCAGCGGGCGGCGGTGTCGAGCTGGCCCGAGGCGCGCTGGCTGATGAGGCGGAGGTAGGTGTCTAGCTCGCAGCGGGTCTGGACGTCGACGTTTACGCTGTCGAGGTAGGATTCTACTAGGGGGATCAGGCCTGGGAATCCGTCCGAGGAGTCCGGGTTGCTGCCGTTGATGATGTCGTTGACTGTCATTTCGGCGTATTCGTCCTCGACGGGGCCGACGGGTGTGGGCGGGCGACTAGGGACTGCTGAGCCGGGGCGGGAGTTGGGCCGGCTGGCGTCGTCGCCGCCGCCGCCGCCCTGGGTGAAGTTGTTGACGCGGACCTGACGGCTGGGGAAGGGGTTTCTGCGGAAGAAGAACTTCTCCTTGAGGACGGCGTCGACGGCGTGTGCGCGCTCCATGTTCTCGTCGACCTTGGTGATGGGGATGTAAAAGTTGAGGTCGAAGGAGAGGATGGCGCGGGTGACGAGGACCATGAAGACGGAGAAGGCGGCGTTTTCGAAATCGGTGAGCTGGATCTCCATGGGGCGGAACTCGACGCGCCAGCCGATGGAGTTGTCGGCGGGCGGGGGCTTGAAGCGCATGTGCTGCCAGTTTGTGGACTGGAGGTTCTCAAAGTGGTCCGTCTTGGAGAGGTCGAGCTCCTGGAGGTCTTCTTCGAAGACGACGATGGGGTCGCGGATGAAGAGGTGGGCAAAGTGGGTGGCGAGGCGGTCGTCCATGCCGCCGTCCATGAGTTTGGATTTGATGGACTCGTCGATGACGAGGTTCGGGTCGAGGTATTCCTGGCGGAGGCGCGGGTCTGTGGAGATGTAGGTTGAGTTTGAGGCGTAGCGGGATTTGGGGATGCGCCAGCGGTCGTTTTTCAGGAGCTAGGTCTGGGTGTCAGCATGTCTTTACCTGAGGTTGTCTACATAGATATATCTTGATATATGTGCAGATGTTCATTGTGTGAGATGAGATGAGGTGTGCGTGAGTGAGTGGTTGAGTGGGTAATCCATCTTGTGCTCGTCTTTGATATCTTACCTTCTCTCCGAGCTCCTCAGGGGTTCTGCAATCCACGGCCCGGCTGATCTGATTCCACCTCACGTCGGTGTTGGCCAGGAACCCCTTATACACGGGCGTGGCAGCCGTCAGGGCGAGCATGATGGGCCCCAGCGGGCTGAGCTGGTCATACATCTTGCGGCCCTCGGTGATGTTCTTGGCCTGGAAGGTAATCTGGAGACAGCAGCTGCCCATGCCGAACGCCATGGCGTCCATGTGGATAAAGTTGTCCGGGGCGGCGCCGCCGTCGCGGACGTCGTCGTCCTCGGGCCAGTTGTGCAGGTCGCGGTTGACGGTGGGATCCTTCCAGGGGTTGGGCGTGTTGGTGTCGTGGAAGACGGGGACGTTGACCTGGACTTTACGGCCGCGTCGCCAGCGGATGTTGGCGGCGAGGGTGGGGAAGCGGATGTGCGGGTTGGCGATCTCGTCGGGCACGAACTGGGAGCGGAGTTTGGGGCCCGAGGGCGGGTAGTAGGGTTCCGTGAAGTCGCCCGGGCAGCCGATGCGGGGGAAGGTTGTGAGGGTGATGGGGTACTCGTTGCTGTGCATGTGGTCCTTTGCGATCTTGCGGCGGAGCTTCATGTCGGGTTCGACGTCGAGGAGTTCCTTGAAGCCGATGCCCCAGGGTTTGCCGGGGGTGGCTTCGAGCATGAAGCGACCGAATTCCGGGTGGAAGACGGGGAGGGTAACTGATCTTTAGTTTGGAGTTAGCGTGAGCGAGGCAGGGCTCTTCGTCTGGCCTCGATGAACTTCGCGATGGATCGGCTCATGTGGCGGGACGTTGACGGATAAGAGAGAAGGATCGAGGGTGGACATACGACTGTTCCCTGGCGACTTCCTGGAGCTCTGGTACGCAGCCTCCCTCCTTTGCGAGATCCGGGCTCTCGGCGAGTGCTGTGAGAATCTCGGCTTGTCTAAGAGACAGACGGACCTTGGGCTCATCCTTTGAGTAGGTCACGACCAGGTACTCGACCTTGAGTGAACATTGTCAGCTCTCGGGCTCTCATCCCTTGCAGTTGCTGAGTAGTACCGTGAGAGCATGTGACGCCAGCACTCGTTCATGAGGCAGCAGAGCATCATCTCTCACAACAGTGTTCACATACCTCATCTCCCCAGAGCATAGCATCGCGCTCTTTGCTCTTGGCCTTGTTCCATATCTCTAGGAGTTGCTAATCCAGCCAAGACAGACTCAGGTCAGCAACAATTTAATGACCACGGAGATCAACGACAGCCCCGTGTGAAGTCGTCTCACAGCGAGAGACAGGGACAGAGAGAGGCGCTCGAACCTTGATACCCCACTCGCGGACCTGATCAGCACTCTTCTTGGCCTCTGGCCAGTCGAGAGGGGTTCCCAGTGCTCTACGTTCAGAGGTGTTAGAAAAGGCTGCCTTATTGTACTATCTGTGATTGAATAGTGGGAGCGAGTGAGGTAAGACTTGCAGGAGACCCATGGTTTCTGGTGATGCGTAGCTACAGCTTTTTCTTGGTGGTTTGTTTTGGGAGGAGGTGCGGCTACGGCCGGGTTTGGCCGGTTATCGGCGTTTTGGACGATGACGGAGTTATGAAGTTAAAACGGCCCGAGAAAACTAAGGTAGGAAATTCCGGGCGCCGGCCGCAAATGATTGGGATGGAAAATCGCGATAAAAGGGATCCGATATTAGAGTGGTTGGTATAATCAAGTCGGAGAGCATCTACTGTAAACCAACTCTCTATGGGCTCTACGAGTGGTGAGACACAAAGACGTTGCCCGGTATAGAGGGGTTGGTTTTCTGACAAGGCGTCAGACCAGGCTGATTGTCGTTTTTTTCCCTTTTTCCCTGCAGGCTCGCGATGCAAGGGTCCAGAGCGGGAAAACAAGGCGGGACTGTTCGAGGGCGGAATGACGGCGCTTCGCAAAAGGTGGGAACGTCTTTTCTTCAATGGGTTGTTTTCTCTCCTTGCGATTGCGCAATGGTCTCGGCAAGCCGAATGGGAAAGCCCTTGTCGCCAGTAGTCCAATTGGTAAGGTGGTGGTCGATTTTTGGTCCGTAGGCGCAGCGTTTGATTGCGGCTCAGCCCGATAGGCGGCGGGGTTCTGGGTTGCCAAAGATGCCGTAGCTGCGGTTATTTATCCAATCACAGACATATGTCTTCAAATCACGTCAACAAAATTGGAAAAGAGGAGAATGGGATTGGGTGGTGGAGGGTGGGAAAAGTCAAGAAAAAAGGTTCATGGTCTAGAATTTTGGGCACCCAGGAAAATAAGGTATGGTATATGCGCCGCGGAAGGGCGCGAGCAACGTCAAGTTGTTTTGCGGCTTTGGTGGGGGTGGTTTGTCAGTTTTTTTTTTTCTTTTTCCGTTCTCTAGCGTTGTGAGACTTTTTCTTGCGCGGTTGCGCCGACGATGGACGATGGACGATGGAGGGGTAAAGGAACGGGGGGGTTGATTAGAAATCACATGCGTTGCTTAGTTAGATAGTTGGGGGTTAAAGACTTGCCATGGTTTGTATTTTTTTTTTTTTGTCCCTCTCCTGCGCGCGCCCTATTCGGTTCTTGCTTTCCTATCTTAGCCCACCCATCGTACGTGGGGTTTTGGTAATTAGATGATCCCCCGGAATGGCCGAGTCGGAAACTGTGCGACATCTGCGAGTGGTATCAGACTTGTTATGGAGAAGTCTCGGTGGTTGTCCGGCGTTCTGGGGAAATGGACGTCTCAAAACGCTATAGATATCGAATTGCATGCTGACATATACTCGGTCAGTAGTTGACTCTCCCAAAATGCGCTGTCCGCGGGCGGCTACTTTGATTTGTTCTTGTAGACGCCCGCCGGCCTTGGGGTATGGCCCGGGACTTCTTCAGTCCCGTTCAACAAGTGGAGATATCGTAGATCGGATGTGGGGTGGGGGTTGTTGAATAACAGAGTGAGAGAAACCAACTTGCATAAAATGTTCACAGTCATGCTCCCTATCTAGGAGCTTGAGCTGAATCGAGCATGGCATTATAATCTCATCATCTTCACTTCGCACAAGGTACTTAGCTAGGTATACTTGACCTAAGGCTCTCGGCTTGCCTCCCGAAAGACGCCCGGGCAGGTTCAACTTCGGCTTCGGGCCCGGTTCGGAAGGTCAAGCCGGGGCAAGACCTTTCTCAGCCAGACTGTAATAAAATAACATATCGCCTGTTTGTCCTGCTTTTTTTCATGGCGATTCACGAAACGTGCAGCCTCTAGCAATTCATTTCCACATCATATTATCAAATTTACACTCCCAGGGTTCACGTCAATAAGAAAAACAGGCTTGAGGTTCGCCGATTAATGGTTAATTTTCTCTCCCTTTGGAGTATAATACAAACTTCCCAAGAAAAACGATGTGTAAAGGAAAGGAGAAAAGGGAGTTCGCGAGAGCAATAAGCAAAGCTGCCGAACCCAAGCCGTACCCCGGTTCCGGTCCCAGTTTCTCTCCGTCTTGGAGAAAACGCGGGACCTCGTTCCGTATATGCAGTTTCTTCCCAGCGCCCTCTTTCATCGAGCCATCAAACTTGTATAGCTCTCTTTTAGCCGACGAGACATGGCGCCTTGAAATTGATCCGTCCTTGTGTTTCCATCTCCAATGCCAGAAAGGCCCTCTTTGGCTGCTGCAAAGGCTCCTAACGCGAGTAAGGATGGAATCCACGGTTGCTGCTACGTCCGCCGCCGCGGTAGTTAGCGCCGGGTCTGCCCGCGTTCTTGGGTCCTGTAGGCGCGTTGGCAGGCGGGGCATGCGCTGGATCGGGTGATCCCTGATGGGAGCCACCGCTGTGAGAGCCACCACGGTGACCGCCTCTGAAGCCTCCCCGGCCGCCCTGGTTCGGCTGGGGAACATCGTCGTACATGCCCTCCCACGATGTCGGAGCAACGCCACCACCGCCCATGGCATATGCGCCAGCCTGATTGTACTGGTCGCGGGGAGCACCTCCGCCGCCGCTGCTGCCTCCCCGACGCGGTCCTTGTCCGCCGCCGGGCTGCTGTGGCGGCTGGCCTCCCTGAGACGGGTCGAACATTTGCTGCTGGGGGCTGAAGCTGCCGCTAGGTCCAGACGGGGGACCGCCCTGCTGGCCCATCTGCTGCTGCATCTGTTGTTGCATTTGCTGCATCTGCTGCATCATTTGAGGCGTCATCTGGCCCATCATGCCTTGCTGCCCGTTGCCGCCTCCACCGCGGCCCATCATCTGGTTCTGCATCTGCTGCATCTGCTGCATTTGCATCATCTGCTGCATCATGGCCGGGTTCATAGGACCCATGCCTCTGCTCATAGCCATTTGTTGCTGCATCATGGCGAAATACTGCTGCATGCGTTGGAAGTATTGTGCCATAACCTGAGGCGTCATGCCCCCTGCAGCACCCATCTGGCCGCCTCCCATCCCGCCTTGTCCACCTTGGGCACCGTCTTCGCCCTTCCTGAACTTTCCTCCCCGTCGTGCGGCTTCTTCTTCTTCGCGAAGATTGCCACGCGGCTGAGCCTTCTTGACCTCAATCGGCTTGCCGTGAATCTCCAGACTGGTGCTGAGGCAGGCATCAACGCCGGCCTCGCTTTCAAACGTGACGAAGCCGAAACCGCGAGGGCGACCGGTGTCCTTGTCCATCATCAAGGTCGCGTCCACCACACGGCCGAACTGGGCGAAATAGTCCTTGAACTCTTGATCGGTCGTATCTTGACTGACGCCACCGACGAAGATCTTGCTAGTCTTTTCTTGCTCGTCGCGAGGAATTGCTCGCTTGGGGTCAATCTGGTTGTCGTTAGTGTCCAATTTGAACTGCAATGTGCTTAGGAGAATCTTACGATCTTGCCATCCAAAAAGTGTTCCTTGACCATAACAATGTTCACCGTCTTGGCGTCTCTGAATGTCAGGAAGCCAAAGCCTCTTGATCGTCCGGTGCTGCTGTCTCTCATGACGGTGCACTCAACAACCTCGCCGAACTGAGAGAAGTAGTCCCTTAGGGATTCTGGCACCTATTAGAATATGGCACTGTGGCAGCGGTCACAATGTAGACTTACGATCAGTCGTCTCCCAATTAAGGCCACCAATAAACATCTTGCTACAGATACAATAACATTAGTCAGTGAATCAACTCAAAATTCAGAACTCCGAAAAAAAGAAAATCATGCGACTGTAATTGTGTTCTGGGCAATGGAAGTATTATCCGGACATCGAGACAAGAGCCAATGGCCAATAACAGTTTCCGCCGTATGGCTGGAACAGAGGAGGCATCCTTGAGACCATGAGTTGGCCGAGTCGTCTGTCGAACAGCGTTAGGCTAGCCGCCTTCGCCTTTTCCCCCTCTTAAAGATACAGGCTGACTGGCTTGCAACAGCCTGAGATCGCATTTCTTGGCGTTGGTGTATTGGTGTTTTGATCGATGCCTATCATAACATGCTTCTTGATGGGTACCTCCTCGCGGCCAGCGGCAGATTCAGACAGTACTTTGTTGAAGAATCATCAAGGTGACGTGCATGGGTTGGTTTCCATCAGCATCGATGCCTTTGTGGAAAGGCCGAAGATTTCAGATTCCAACCGCAGCCAAAGTGATTGTTGAGGGCGAGCAGCGCTAGCCAGCCACAAAAACTCTCTCACGTCTGGGGAGAATTGCGGAGCGGATAGCCTGGTCATTGTCGAATGTTTCGTGTCTTTTGCTATCGTCAAGTCTCTGCTAGCTCTAGCTTCGAGCGCTATCCGCTGCTAATCTTGCTACAGCAGCCAAAGACCGCAGGATGTTCTCTCTGCGACTGGGCTATAGAAGGCGCACGAGGGTGCTCCTGATCTGACTGACTGATGACTGACTATCGTCGGCATATCTCGGTGATCTCAGGCTGCTTTTTCCAGCTGACTTTTTCGCGGTACCTCTTAATGGCTTCTCTTTCTTGCTTTTCTTCAAGCTTCTCATGTCTTCTCTGAATTTTTTCCTTGGCCGGCTTGATGGCCCTGAAGAATGTTTCCCAAAACGTGGCTGGCCAACGTCTTGTATTGATGCCCTCTCTTGTCCATCCAAGTTCCCAAGACCAAGCAGGCCCGATACGAGATACCATGGGGCCACTGATGTCCGAGTTCCCTCATACCGTAGCAAAATTGCTTCAAATTAATCAAGTCGAGATATGCGTCCCAACTATAGGTGCATGGGGAATAGTTTGTGTAGCAAGTGCAGAATTCACGCAGTTGGCAAATAAAACTTACCCATCTTCCTTGGCACTCGGGTTCTTGGCCGTGCTTGTCGAGTACGTGGGTTCTTCCTGCTTGTTGCCAGCAAACCCGTTTGAGGGCGGCGCATAACCGGTGCTTCCACCACCACCGCCGCCGCCGCCGCCGCCGTCACCACCTAGGTTGAAGTCTACTTCATCATCGTCATCCTCTTCTTCGTACTTCATTTGATCGTCATCACCACCGCCACCGTATTCCTGTTCAGGCTGGGGAGGTGGTTCGGCATGTGTCTCGACGCTTTGTTGAGGAACGGCGACTGGGACAGGAGGCGGCGCGGGTTGCTGGGCGGCAGCTGGCTTCGCTGGGGTGTCATCGTCGTAGCTGTGGCACGTATGAGCATATCTTCATGGCAACGGATGACACTTGTAGGTACTCACAGATCGGCGAAGAGGTCTTCCTCGAAATTCTCGGGCTCGGTCATCCTGGCGAGTGCTCAACAAGTCTCAAGCGTATGTTGATAGACGATTCGATGCAGGCGAAGTGTGCAGCGAAAGGAAATGGGGAGTAAAGAACGTGTTGTGTTGTTGCGGAGAAGTTGATGGGACAAGGTCGTTGTGTACGCAACAGCGCTTGTTTGGATATTTCTTAGGCAAGAGCCTGAGTGAAAGAGGAGGAAGGTGGAGCTAAGACTGTGGCGGAGCCAATGGGCGTGCTCAATCCAATCAGAGCTACAAAAACTGGGGGAGGGACAGAAAGGTCCAAGCATCGGCAAAGCTCGTGCGCGCTCTGCCACCTACTGAGGTTATGAGCTGCGATGTGTTGGGAAGCGCCGACTCGTCCCGTACCTGAGTGAGTGGGGATGCTCACGTGACCGAGTAACATGGAAGACTGGCTTGTTGCGGTAGGTAGGTATGTAATGAAATTGGGAGAGTTTGGCATCCGTATCCGTACAGTTAGATCGTTCATGCAAGGTACCGCAATAACTAGCCCTATTATTTGCCATAAGTGAAGACATCCCTTGCAAGAATCTCCCTCTGGGGAAATAGGTTTTTGTTCTTTGCTTAGACTTCCCCAGACTCCTTTCCAGCTGGTCGAGGTAGGCTGGAAGAAGCATCTGCGCTACCATTTAGACTCGCACCTCGGCCGCCACAACGACGCAGTTGAAACCGCATCCTCCAGCCACAGTGACCTCCTCCCCCCACTCCACTCCAACTGCTGCTCAAAGCGGCGTGCGGTACACTAATGTGAGGCAAGGGTCCGGCCACTGGTCACTTGTTCGGAGCTCAGGCGACTCGTCTGGCGCATCTCAACACCAAGACACACAATGACACGGTCTCAATAGAGAAGCATCACCATGTTCTCCTCTTCAGGGAGTGGGAAGAAGCCCTCGCAACAGGTATGCTCCCCCAAACCCCTGCCCGGGCCTGTCACCGCATGCTAATTGCCCCGCAGCAGGAGATGGTCCAAGTCGGTGGGTTTCGTCATACCTCTTCAACTCGTGTTGCCCGTTGCTGCATAGCCTCGGCTCTCGAGACTAAACTCGGAAATTCTTGGCTAACTTTGATATTTTGTTGACGGTGCAGACCGCTCAGAGTACGTTGCCTTGGCTGCATCGCCGACGCAGTTCGGAACTGACTTGGGGTAGTTCTGCATCGCCGTTTTGGAAGCCACCCCCACGCGAGAACGCATCGAAAAGAACCGGTCGCGATCCAAACCTGGTTGTCGGAGCAGCATATTCTCATGCCGATATCCTCAAGTTCGATTCACTGTGCGAACTCTTCCCATCTTGGAATCGCGCCTGGAACCGCGCCGGCACCCTCAGCTAACTTGAGCCAGCAACTTGTCCAGCTCATCCTCCAGACCGAAGACACCTCCTTCCTCACACTCTACCAAAGGCCGGCCTAGCGATGCCTCTCCTCCCTCGCGCCCCCAGTCGGGCCTTTCGTCCCCTCCGATCAAAAGTTATATCAATTTCCTTTCCAACACCAACGATGACTGGAAAGCCGACGAGGACGAGGAAGACATGATGGGGTATGAGGACGATGACGGTGACGACTTTGGCTTGCCGAGCCTGTCCAACATGAAGCGACGAACACGCAAGAAAGCCGCGCAACACAGGTCAGATCCCAACGGCGGTCTGTCGCCCTTGAACGACTCGTTCGGTTTGGGGTTACACACGAGGAGATACTCGAATAGTGCAGACATCGCGATCGAAAGGCCTGCGCCAACCTATCCAATGCCGAAAAAGAGCGAGGGCAAGATCTTGCGTCCACAGTATAAAGAAATTTTGAGGGGTAAGCGATGTCGCGTGATGTTGGAACGGACCGTGCTGACTGCGACAGACCCGGCGAACGCGCTGCACCTTATCGATCACCCAGTCATACCCGACGACGCAACGCCCAAAGAGGTTGATGCCGCGAATTCACGAATTACTCGTATCAACAAGTTCAAGAAGCTCTTGCAGGCGTCAACAATACCGCTACAGGAACTTCGGCAACTGGCTTGGTCCGGCGTTCCCCAGGAAGTTCGTGCTATGACATGGCAACTCCTATTGAGTTACCTACCGACGAACAGCGAGAGGAGAGTCGCAACTCTAGAGAGGAAACGAAAAGAGTATCTCGATGGCGTTAGGCAGGCTTTCGAACGAGGCAGCAGCAGTGGGGGAAGTGGCACCACCGTCGCGGCACCCGGGAAAGCGAGAGGGCTAGACGAGGCAATCTGGCATCAGATCAGCATCGACGTTCCAAGAACGAACCCTCATATCGAACTTTACTCGTACGAAGCGACCCAGAGATCTCTGGAACGAATCCTGTATCTATGGGCAGTGCGACACCCTGCCAGCGGCTACGTTCAGGGCATCAATGACTTGGTAACACCGTTTTGGCAGGTTTTCTTGAGCACATATGTCGCAGACTCCGATATTGAATCGGGCATGGACCCTGGTCAGTTGCCAAAATCGGTTCTTGACGCTGTAGAAGCAGATTCGTTCTGGTGCTTGACAAAGCTGCTAGACGGTATACAAGACCACTACATTGTGGCTCAGCCAGGCATTCAGAGGCAGGTTGCGGCCCTTCGCGATCTCACCGCAAGGATCGATGCAGGACTGGCGAAGCATCTCGAAAAGGAGCACGTCGAATTCATCCAATTCAGCTTCCGATGGATGAACTGTCTCTTGATGAGAGAGATAAGTGTAAGGAATACGATCAGGATGTGGGACACGTACTTGGTGAGTATATTCCATCGACGTCTGATCATTGGCACCGATCTAACCACCTACAGGCCGAAGAACAAGGCTTTTCGGAGTTTCATTTATACGTGTGCGCGGCTTTCCTAGTCAAGTGGTCGGACAAGCTTGTCAAGATGGATTTTCAGGAAATAATGATGTTTTTGCAAAGCTTGCCAACAAAATCTTGGACGGAGAAGGACATTGAGCTGTTACTGAGTGAGGCTTTCATCTGGCAGAGCCTTTTCAAAGGTTCATCAGCTCACTTGAGAGGACAGCCAAGTCGCACTCCTTCAGCAAACATGCAGCTGTAGTTCCTTCTCCAACCAGATGTTTGCGTTTCAAGCCAGAGACTGGGCATTGTTGAAAGGAGATAGGTGATGGGAATGACATTCGGGCGTACGGCAATTGCCAAGGCAAACATGTAATCAAGGCATTGGCAGCGACACCCTGCTGGCCTATCCCAGAATTGATCCATGGGATTAATGCAACATACAGTGCTAAGCACAGTGAAGAAGCTCATCACGCACCCGTGATTTTGATTGGGTTTAACTCGTTTTACGTGCTGAACGGAAGCTATCCCTGCAGCTTCGTTCCCCAATCAACGCGCCTTCCTCAGAGCTCGCGCGTCACACCACAGACTGACAAAGGCTGCCAATTCTCTTTCCGCAATTGCCTTCCTTACCTCGCTCATCCTATTTCCCATCGTCCGCAAATAATTCTGCTCCTTCATCCTTCAACTTATCAATCGGCAACTCCAATTCAATTCCCACAATGGCCGACGCACCCGAACAGCCTACGATCGCCGCAGAGGTCCCTATCGCTGAGGCCCCTGTCGCAGTGGCACTCGTTGCCGAGGCCCCAGCTGTGGAGGCTGTCGCAAACCCAGAGATCAAGCAGGATGCGCTCGCGCCGACACAACAAGACACGCCAGCCACGATCGGCGAAGAGTCTGAGGAGGACGTCAACTCCAAGAAGGTCACTCTCGCCGACCTGACCGCCAAGGGAACTGCTCTCTACGCAAAGAAGCAGTACGAGGAAGCTACGGACTGTTTCACGAAGGCTGCTGAGCTGCAAGATGAAATCAATGGCGAAATGCAACCTGCAAATGCTGAGATCCTCTTCCTCTACGGCCGCAGTGTGTTCAAGGTTGGCCAGAGCAAGAGCGACGTCCTAGGAGGCAAGGCCGCTGGTGACAAGAAGGCGGCCAAGCCTAAGTCCAAGGCCCCGAAGAAGACCACTGCCGAGCCTACGTCGACCGATGCGCCAGCCGAAACCGAGGCGCAGAGAATAACTGAGGAGGGTGTTGCGATTGTCGCAAGTGTGTCGAGCGGAGCGAAGCCCGAGGAGATTGTCGTGGAGAAGAAGCCCTTGTTCCAGTTCACTGGCGACGAAAACTTTGAGGACGACTCGGATGAGGAGGAGGTAAGCTAGATTCCCGTTCCTTTGGTCTCGAGCTGAACAAGTCTCGATCTTTCATCAATGAGTTGATTTAAGACTTGCGATCCAGACCCGTCGACGACTGCCAATTGGAGCTAACCTATTATTAGGCCGAGGGTGATGAAGAAGAAGAGGAAGAGGATGACGATCTCGCTGTCGCGTTCGGCGTGCTCGACATGGCTCGCATTCTCTACAGCAGACAGTTGGAAGAGTTGGAGAAGGTGGAGCCCAATGGCAAAGCACAAGAGCAAGTCGATGGCGAGAAGCTCAGCATCAAGCATGTCAAGGAGCGCCTTGCGGATACTCATGATCTTCTTGCCGAGATTTCCTTAGAGAATGAGAGGTAAGCACCTGCCGAGGTACCCTGCACGAAGGCCTCCGTCGTTAACAGAGATATAGATACCCCGACGCCATTGAGGACTCGCGCAAGTCTTTGAAATACAAGAAGGAGCTGTACAGCGAGGATTCGGAAGTTATTGCCGAGGCGCACTTCAAGCTTTCGTTGGCGCTTGAGTTTTCCTCCGTAACAACCACTCAGGAGGAGGGCGAGCAAGGAGAGAGCAAGCCTTTCGACGAGAAGCTTCGCGAGGAGGCCGCAAATGAGCTGGAAGCGGCCATCAACAGCACCAAGCTCAAGCTCCAGAACAAGGAAGTCGAACTCGCTACCATGGCATCTCCAGAAGATAACGAGGTCACCCGGGCCACGATTACCGACGTCAAGGACATGATTGCGGATATGGAGCAGCGCGTGAGTAACCATACTTTGTCCTCGACAAGACCTTTACTAATCATGCACAGCTCGTGGAACTTCGTAAGCCACCCATTGACGTGAACGCTGCTCTCGGTGGTGAAGGCTTAGGCGGAATTCTTGGAGCGGCTATTGGTGAATCTGCGGCTCAGACACAAGCTCGCGTCGAGGAAGCCAAGAAGACGGCTACTGATCTTACTGGCCTTGTACGCAAGAAGGCCAAGGAGGAGCCCAAGCCCGAAGAAACTCAGGCAAACGGTGCAGAGTCCAATGGCACGAAGCGCAAGGCCGAAGAGCCTGCGGAGGCAGATGACTCATCGAAAAAGACCAAGGTCGAGGAGGCTACTCGGATCTGAATACTTAGCGATCATGTAACATTGGACATTGGCGAAAATGATCTCGAGGGCGGGGAATAAAAGGGTCTGGGGGTTTGTTTCTCAAAGGTATTCACGGCAGAATTGTACAATAGCTAGCACTCTGGAAGGTAAAGGAGAACATTCTGCGCTTCGCGACGATATAAAACATGACCGGATCGCAATTGCACTAAAATTGGGTTGCATTTGGCGCATCTCGTCTTCCCCCGGTGGCTGTACATTGGGTGATTGAATGTGTCGCATGGGCGCGTAGACAAGTCGAGGTATCCGTAAAGGAAGGCGCGAAAGACCCCTTGCGTTTGACCGCCTCAGCCCCGCCCCCGCCAAAGAACCCCACCATCGTCCAGCAACGACAATTTACCACCCTCCAAAGTCGCTCCTGAGTCACCTCGAGAGAGTCACGCCGACGCAGCTGCAACCCATCCGCAGTCCCAAGGAACGTGTAAGTTGTACTCTTCTCGGAACGCGTCTGTGATTTGCCTTTTTAACAAGTATACTTTACCATAGTCCGCCCCGCCAATCTCCCTTCTACCCCACCAGCCATAATCATGCTCGACCTCCAAGATTTCATCAAGGAGCGCGGTGGTGACCCCGAGAAGATCCGCGACTCCCAGCGCCGTCGTCATGCACCCGTCGAGATTGTCGACGAGGTCATCGCTTTGTGGGATGGTACGAATTCCCAACCCACCCAGGCCTTCATGCCCATAGCTGCACGCACATCGGAGGAAGGACAATATGGGCTAACACGAACCTCTCCGGAGCCGAATAGACCACCGCAAGACCCAATACTCTGCGACGCAGATCGGAAGCGAAATCAACGCCGTGCAGAAGGAGATTGGTATGAAGAAGAAGAACAAGGAGAATGCCGACGACTTGCTCAAGAAGAAGGAGGATCTCCAGAAGCAGAAGAAGGACAAGGAGGATGAGGCGACAGCGAAGCTCGTCACGCTCAACGCCAAGGCCAAGAGCATCGGAAACTACGTTCACGAGTCCGTTCCCATCAGCGACAACGAGGACAACAACGTCACGGAGCGCGAATGGAAGCCCGAGGCCGGACTCGGTGCCAAGACTGAGCAGACGCTTAGCCACCACCAGATTGTTACCAGACTCGCGGGTTACGACTCTGAGCGTGCTATCAAGCTTGTCGGTCACAGAGGATACTGCTTGACTGGATACGGACTGTTCCTGTACGTTCTGTGTCAGGAGAGAAGCGAGGGTGAAGCATGTGGTAGCAATAGGAAAGCTGACCCCGACGAACAGGAACCAGGCGCTCATTAACTACGGTCTCGAGTTCCTTTTCAACAAGGGATACACGCCTAACCAGCCTCCCTTCTTCATGAACCGCAACCAGATGGCCAAGACCGCCCAGCTTGAGCAATTCGACGAGGAACTGTGAGGCGAATCATCCAAACCGAAATCCACCCTCAATTGTTCTGACAGATTCTCCAGGTACAAGGTTACGGGTGACGGCGAAGAGAAGTACCTCATTGCCACCAGTGAGCAGCCGCTCTCTGCACTTCACAGCGAGGAGTGGATCCAGGGTGGCCAGCTGCCCATCAAGTACGCCGGTTACAGCACATGTTTCCGCAAGGAAGCCGGCAAGCAGTACGTTCGAGACCCCTGCCAGATGACGGTATCATTTCCCTTCTGGAGACTTTGACTGACACGGGAAACTTGCATAGCGGTAAGGAGGCCTGGGGTCTGTTCCGTGTGCACCAGTTCGAGAAGATTGAGCAGTTTGTCTTCTGCAAGCCTGAAGACAGCTGGAAGCACTTTGACGAGATGATTTCCGCTTCTGAGGAGTTCTATAAGAGCCTTGGTCTTCCCTACCGGTAGGCTATATCAAGCTAGAGTTGTGGAACTTGAAAGCTGACTTACGACCACAGGGTTGTTTCCATCGTCTCTGGTGCTCTGTAAGCAACCCCTGAAGATTAACTATGGAGGAATTACTGACAGATTCAGGAACAACGCCGCCGCCAAGAAGTACGATTTGGAGGCTTGGTTCCCCTTCCAACAGGAGTACAAGGAGCTCGTGTCTTGCTCCAACTGTAAGATCATATTCATTCGTAAATTACGGCTCGGCAATGCTAACATCGACGGCAGGCACGGACTACCAGACCCGCGAGCTCGAGGTCCGTTACGGTGTCAAGAAGGCCAAGGAGGTGAGTCCCATCAAAAAAGCTATGGTCATTTTCTTAAACCCGAGATTTGCTGACATTTTGCCCCACAAAGGCCCCCGGTGGTGGCCGGAAGGAGTACGTCCACGCTCTCAACGCTGTAAGTCGTCCCCTCTGATGCCACCTTTGGTCTCATGTACGTGTCGCTGATACTTACCAAAATCTTTAAAGACCCTCTGCGCTACCGAGCGAACCCTTTGCTGCATCATGGAGAACTACCAGACGCCCGATGGCTTCAAGGTCCCCGAAGTGTTGCGCAAGTACATCCCCGGTCAGCCCGAGTTCCTGCCCTACGTGGCCGAGCTCCCCAAGGAGATCACTGTCGTTGCTGGACAGAAGAAAAAATAGATCACGCCACAGCGTGTGAGCGTGGACTTAGATGGCGGAGAATGAAGAGAAATGACGCTAACCGTTTGGTGATGAACTCATGTCCTGACTATAATCGCCAGAGAGATCTTAACGGCGGCCGGTTAAGGGATGGATTAGTGAGACAAAACTTTGAAGATACACCCAGACAAATCAATCTGATCTACAACGATTTCGAGGACCATTGACGAATTGGAGAGCATCGCATCTTGTGGCACGTTCATTTATCGCGTTGATAAGTTGAACAAGCTAGAATGCCTTTGCCTAGATTGAGGCAGTTGGCTTATGGATAGGTCAGTCGGAAAGAAAACTGCTCACCGAGCATGGGTATAATCGAAACCAACACACGTAGTTGACGACATGCCGTTCTCTCCATTTGTTCCTTTGAACCACTGGTATAACTTTCTTACGCTAGAACTTTGACTACAACCTCACGGGCTTTAGCTCCCGCAAATTCACCTTTGATCCACACAAGCGGGCTCTCCTTAATTCTATCCCCGGCCTAGAAATAGCAGTCGATTGGGCCAGGGAATTAAGATCTGCCAAATACGAGAAAACCCCGCCCTTTCCGTCACGACCCACAGCCGGCTATCTCGGTATCGTATTGACGAACCGACCACCCCATGGCAATCGGACTTTGAACTCTTAAAATCACAGCGTAGTCGCACAATGGATACGGTTCGGGGCACGCTGGGCTGTAGAGTCTTTCTCAGACTTGTCTGTTCGAAGAGAAGCCGCCCAATCGTCTAGTCGTCGATGCGTCTCATCGCCCACTTTGCTGCGGCAGCGGCTTGCTGTCTTGCTATAGCTACCTCCCAAGCAGTGCCGAAGACGTATTTTATCGAGTTGTCCAAGGACTCTACGGCCGAAGGGCTTAGCATCAGTCCGTATGATCTCGCCAGCAAGGCAGCCGAAGCGTCTATCCCGCTACGAGTGCGATATGAGTACACCGACAAGAGTGTCTTTTACGGCGTATCGGTCTCTCTGGACAGCGACTCGGACAGTGAAAAGTTGCGAGCTCTGCCAGGTGTCGAGAATGTCATTCCCGTCCAGAGCGTGGCGCACCCTCATCGCCCAAGCAGCAACGTGAAGAGGTCTCCTTCCAGCGGAAAAGGTAGCGGAAAACACGCCAACCGTAACTATGAAGGCAGCAGAGACCAGTCCAAATATTCGCTCTCACGGAGGGCGGACGTCGACTGGAATAGCCCTCACGCCATGACGGGCGTCGACCGCGTTCACGCAAAGGGCGTGCTCGGCGAGGGCGTACGCGTCGCGGTCATCGACACGGGAATCGACTACCTGCACCCCGCCCTGGGAGGATGCTTCGGAAAAGGATGCAAGGTCGAGTTCGGCTACGACTTTGTCGGCGACGATTACGGGTTCAGCAACTCCACTCCGAACCCGAGCCCGGACCCAAGGCCGGGCTGCTTTGACAGCTTCCACGGCACCCATGTCGCCGGCATTATCGGCATGGAGGTTTCCTCAAACGCCTCCATGTTCGCCGGTCTCGTTGGCGTCGCTCCTAGGGCGACGCTGGGCATGTACCGCGTCTTTGGATGCGATGGGAGTGCGTCGGATGATGCTATTGTTGCGGCTATGCAGAGGGCCGTTGAGGAGGGTGCTCATGTTGTGAGTATCTCGATTGGGGAGTTTGGGACCTGGTCGGGCTACCCCGGGTCGATTCTCCCTGCTGCTGTCACCGCGCTGAGAGCAAAGGGCGTTGCTGTCATTGCTGCTGCTGGTAACTCTGGCACACAAGGCATGTTTTCCATCAACTTGCCAGGCGGAGCGGATGACGGACTCGGTGTTGCGTCGGTGGAGAATGCAAAGTTTCCAACGTACCCGGTCCGTGACTCGAATGGTGCCGAGTTCCACTACGGAGCGTTGTATCCCTTTCCGGAGGGTGAGTATCCAGTAGCTTGGGCCGGGAGAAACACGTCCACGTATAAGTTTGGCTGCTCGGCTTCCGACTACCCGCCAGCCAGTAGCCTCCAGAGGCCGATCTCCGAGTACATTGTCGCCGTCAAGAGAGGGCCTTCGTGTTCACCGACACAGGTCCAGACATATGCCTCTGCGGCAAACTTCACTCGTGTCATTACGTACCCGGATCCCACCATCGATGATGTTTTCATTGAAGGCCACGCTGTGCCCACGCCCTCTCTTACTGCGGATGGTTACGTCTACTCCATGGGCAGCGTGATTGACGAAACACTCTCGAACGCGGCCAAGAGCACCGGACAGTACAAGTTGCTTGTTGAGTCCCAGATGCCTCTTCTGGTGGATCAACTTGGCGGCGGATCTCCAAACAACTTCAGCAGCCTCGGTATGTCTTGCTATCATCGCAGTCATCTAATCTTGATGTGTTGACTGACACTCATCTAGGACCCAACGCCGACTTCGCGTTCAAGCCTCAAATAGCCGCCCCAGGTGGAGTGATCTTAGCCACGTTCCCGCTCATGGAGAATAGCGGCGGTTTCGGCATCATCAGCGGGACGTCCATGGCGACGCCTTACATCTCTGGTGTATATGCTCTGATCAAGTCACAGAACCCCGACTTGTCTGTTGAAGAGATCTTTGAGCGGATGCAAACCACTGCGAAGCAAGTTAACATGGCAGACTATGATTTGATGTCGCCTGCAATTCAACAAGGCGCAGGTCTGGTTCAGGCCCATAAAGCCGTGTTTCCGGGAACGGTGGTATCTCCAGGGGAGTTCAAGTTGGTTGATGTCGAAGAGGCTATTTTCACCATCGACAACCCGTCGGATACCGACGTCACATACAGCTTCTCCAACGTGCCTGCGGCTGGTGCAGCACCATTCCCGGAGGGTTCGAGCCGTACCGCGCAAGTCGGCTACATCCCTTCGTCCTTCTCAGCCAAGATCGACTTTGCGAGCGGGAGCCAACTCACCGTCCCAGCCGGCGGCTCCGCCAACGTCTCGTTCTCAGTTACACCCCCATCATCACCAAACGCCGGCCTCGTCCCACTCTTCTCCGGCTTCATCGGCATCTCTTCCTCCACCAACGAGACCTTCACAATTCCTTACATGGGCCCAGCCTACAAATACAGCAGCACACCTGTCATCGGCACGAAGAACATCACGGCGGAGCAGCGCGCCAACGCCCTGACGCCGACGCGCGATCCCCTCTCGGCTCCGCAGGTCTTTTCCAACGGCGATAAAGCCGACATTGGCAACTACCGCGCCTTTTCGTTCCAGTATCCGGATTACCCGGTCGCGCTCTTCACCTCGCTGCAGCCGGTGCGCAAGTTCCGCTTCGACATTGTGCGCGCGAGCACAAATTTCACGCCGACATGGTACGGCTTCGATCCCAACGTCGACTTTGATAATCTCACAGAGACGTCGATGAAGGAGAATGCTACGGTTGCCGGCGTGCCAATACTCGGATCCAACATGATTCAGAATGGATGGTTGCCGCAGACGAGTCACCAGGCCGGGTGGTCGTATAGTATTCTTGATGCTACCGCTACGATAGGCTTGGGGTTGAAGAAGGGGTCGTATCGTATATTGCTGAGATGGCTCAAGTTTTACAAGGACGAGGAGGATCCTGCGTCGTGGGATAGCTGGATGAGTGGCGTTGTTGATGTTTTGGAGGATGTTTTCGAGCCAACAGTTCCGTCGTAGAAATTGAGTATCCAGACGTAATTATACATTAATACCATCCATAATTTTTATACGCTGACATCTGACATTGATCAAATCTTGCAAATTCGCCAGGGTCCAGCTGAGTCTCAATACGCTTGGGGAATATTAGCAGCTCCTGAACGCTCAGAATCTTCAGGGCTTCCGTTTAATTCTAGCTGCTGAGACTTTGCCCTAAGTTGTAGGAGATGGAGAACGGCATTCTCGAGAGATATGGCTGCGTCGTGTGCAATGACACAGCCGTATAATGAGGGATCTCAACGTAGAAGCAATTCACTTGAAGAACGACTTATTTGAAGGCATTTACAAACAAACAAAAAGGCTAGGCAGTAGAGCAACCAGCCAGAAACCCAAGCCTAGCCTGCCCACCTTATTCATATTCTGACCATTTCAGCAACAACTGCCATATCGTCATCCACGTATCGGAACTATTAGACTGAGACATTCCGGCCTGCATCTGATTTCGAAAAGCTGCGCTCGTGGCGCCCTCATCCGTCGCATGCCATCCAAGTTGGCTATTCCCATGCTCGTACCCATCTGTCGTGCCAGACACCACCTTTATGCCCTCAATGCCTTGGTACGTAACGCTCATGAATCCCGCATGCATGGCATTTGCAAACTGCATATCCTGCATCTGGCGAAGCGCCTGGACCTGTAGCACAGTCTGCACCCAAACCCCGTGCCGCACCCTTGAAAACTCGATCAGCGCCTCCACGTTGCCCGCCTCGCACGCCTCAATCCACTTTTGGCGCATGCGCGGGGAGTACAGGCAGCACATCCTCTTCTCGACGACGAGATCGTTGTTGAACACCATCGCCAGACTGGGAGGAGGTGGGGAGCTCTCCTGGCAGAAGGTGATGTAGCACTCTGGGCAGATTGTGCAGTCGTCCCAGCCGTACCAGCGGCGGTTGTCGACGAGATTCTCCTTGGCACAGTGCGGGACGCCGGCGAATTTGCGTACGAAGACGGAGTAGCGGGACCACACGCCGGTTTCGACGGCTTCGGCGTTGCGGTTCATGTGTTCAGCCCATCGCGGGGCGGAGGACCGCTCGAAGCTGCAGAAGTAGGTCCCGCCTGCTTCTTCGCTCTTGGACTGCTCGTAGAATCGATCCAGTCCGAACGGGGTGATGAAGGCGGCATGGCACGGGGCGCAGATCCTGTAGCCGTCGCAGTCGCCCCCAGTCAACGTGTACCACACGCCGTTGATGATGCCCCGTTCGGTACACGGTGGACATGAGAGTATTACCTCCAGAGCACGGTGGAGAACGTTGATGTCCTGAAAGTCCTTGGCATCTATGAGCGCGACCTCAACGGGCAAGCCGTTCATGCTGCAAGTGATGGGTGTAGGCTCTGTCGTTGTATAGCCCAGAGCGGCGTCCATCCAGTCCAACCCTGTTTGACTCGGCGCGTGTGGAACAGATTCAAAGTCCTTGTCCAGTGTCGTCAGAGCCACATGTTTCTCGTAGCACTTTTCACACATTTTGAAATCTGGATGCCGCTCGCCGCGCAGCCGCATCCAGCGTCTGGAGGAGGGCGATACGGGCCCCTTGTCGCATTCGGGGAGAGCAATGTGCTTCGCTGCTGCTTCTACCCATTCGTTCCAGCCGTCGATCCCTAATCTAGAGATTTTGACCATGGATCGACTCATGAAGGGGAGACATATGTCGCAGGCCCAGATAGCGTCAGAGGCTTGAGGCGAGTCGTGCGGAATAAATTTGTCATGGAACGATGTTGCCAGCACGACATCTTGATAACAAGCCTCACAAGATACGAAGCCATCGAGTCTGTCGTCAAGCGGTTTGAACCACTTGATTCCTGCTGACCCATCAGCACCCGAGGCGCCCTTGCAGTCCAGGACATCGAGTCGAGCGGTCATGAACTCCCGCAGAGGAGTGATGTCTCTGCGCTTGAGACACTCGGGTAGCAGAAGTCTGGTGATGCGGGGAGCGTTGAACCGACAACGTCCTTCCAGTTGCCTGGTGCGTATGAAAGAGTCTTCCAGGGGTGTTCGTGCAAGGCACCTCTCGTAGCAGTGTGTGCAGACGAGGAAGTTTGGTTTGTCCGATATATGATACCAGTCCGTTTCATAGCTGACCTCTCGGTCTGCTGGGCATTCCCAAACGACTGTGTTGGGCTCCCCATCTTCGGTAACACGAGGAAGGGCTCTTTTGTAGTCGTGGAAGTCGACATGGTCAGGCGCCGGAGGGCTACTTTGTGGTGAAGTGGCTTCGCGAAAGCTGACATTGCCCAGTATTGTGGAAATTTCATCAACGGAACTGGTTGCTGATACGTCCTCGTGAGAAACATAAGCAACCTTCTTGGCAATTGGGGCTTGAGTAGGTGAACAATCTGTGATGTTAACTTCTACCACTGACGCCGAAGGGCGAATGACACTTGCTGCAGGTCCCCCTGGCTCTTTCGGGGCTTGAAATTGGTGAGGAGCCAATTCCTGGACATGTTGAATATGCTGCTGATACTCAGGAAGTTGCTGCAGTGTTTCCACAGGCGGTATGTGAGTTGCCGGTGAAGCCGCAGATACAGTGTGTTGCTGAACGGCAGAATTGGGATTGTCGTTCCCGTAAATCACAGTGTTGGGTGTCGGCCTGACAGATGAACCATCTTTCCCGGGGTTTTGTGGGAGATGAGAAGATGAATTCTTTTGAGTCTGTTGACTATACTGATCTCGTTGCTGTGGCAGCACAGCTGGACTATGAGATGGGAGAGGGTAGGCCTGTTCCTGAGGAGGGGTTGGGTGATGATAAGGAGACTGTGCTGGTTGAGTTGCCAAGTTTTCTGTCGGGGTCGGATGCTGATAGTAAGGTTGCTGAGATTGATGGTATTGGACGCCGGATGGGTGAATGGGAGAAGGTAAAGTTGGTGAAGGGGTATACGGAGTATTGTAGTCCTGAGCGTACTGGGCCTGAGGATTGTAACCAGGCTGTGAGGGTGTCACAGCTTGCGAGACGAATTGGGTGAATTTGGCTCTAGCTTTGCTTTTGAGTCCATGGTAAGACTTGACAACCTTGTCACTGTCCGAGAACAACGAGGTCGCCTGTTGCAGAGCACTTGATAGACTAGGACTCTGGGACGATGATGGTCCTTGGCTAGGATGCGTGTACGTTGCCGAGGGTGAGTACGGCTGGGCGAAGGGAGGCTGGCCATTTGAAAAGGAGTTTTGGGGAGTTGGCTGGGGTCGGCTTGCGGAACCTGAACGATAGTAATTTTGACTGTTGGGAGGACTCTGATGGTATGAGGGAGCTCCGTATGCGGGCTGGTACATTTGTTGAGGATGCTGACCGTCATATTGAGGACTCTGTACAGTTTGAGCATGCTGGAATTGCCCTTGTGAATATCCATAGGGAGGAGAAACTGCTGTCATTGCTGATTCTGGCCGTGGGGGAATCGGCGGCGGTGGATTTCCGGCTTGACCTGGCGGAGGTGGAAAGTATGGCTGTCTGCTGTAATCCATGTTGGCTTTTCGTTGTTTGGTATCACGACTCAGGGACGTTGACGTCTTCAGCATTCAAGAACATATATAACAGGGCATCGTAGTCATTTTCATATTCTTGGCGATCTGGCACCGTTACGCTAGGAAGGCCGGCCAAATGTCTCGAATGTGTGACCGCCATACTCAGCCGCAGAAGGCTCGGCATGAAGTTGTGCCGTCTTGGGCGGTTTTGGAGTGAAGCTGAAAAGAAACTGCAGCATACGACACCAATCAAATGTAGCACACAAAGCCATCGCATTACTAGTGCGAATGCAAAACCTAGAGTTCCCCCAATCATGGAGATTGAGGAATGTCAAGCTCAGAGACATTACATTTATGTGTCGAGAAGTCTGCCTTACGCATCAGATACCAAACTCAAGAAAACGCCTGTCAGGGAGTGAGGCTTGTTATGCGACTCTTCAACATTCGCTTATTATCCTCAATGCCAGTTAGAGAGGACTTGACTGAAGCTGCGTAGACCTTTTTGGATCCATAAGCAGGTGTTGTGGTTGATCAAAAAACAGATATTTATATGTCTGTCCTTCACATCAATAACGTTACCCACGAAACCGGAAGATAACATACTTTGCCTTTCAATCTCAGAGTGTGGTAATCAATGGTCTCAACGTCTACTAGCCTGATGAACCCCCGCGTTTTCACTCCGAACGACCGAGTTTCCAGACATCTCAAATCTCATGTCGCTCGGTTCCGAACCCTCCGCTTCGAAGCGTCGGGTACCCTCACTGGGTAACTCATGTAACGGCGAGAGAACATCCCTTTTTTGTAGACGCACCTCGTTTGCGATGCTCGCATTGGTAGCACCCGCTGTCTCTCCCATTCTTTCCCTCTTCTTGTTCTTCCAGCGCATCCAAAATAGGAAACCCGCTATCCCTACGACAGCCAGCGTGCCAAACGTTGCTCCGATTGCGATGCCAGCTACCGCACCTCCTGATAGCCCGCCATCACCTTGTTTTGGGGTGTTTGTAGCCGTAGATGTGACCGTCGGAGCCACCAAAATGGATGTTGACGACGCAGAAGGTACCGACGACGACACGGCGTTGTTAGTGATATTGAAGTAGTGACACGTGGATCCGGCTCCGCCCGCCACGGTCGGCACTAGACGGAAGAAGTAGACGTCGCTCAGCTTCGGTTCGTGGGTGGATGGGAAACCGTCGAAGCTGACGCGCCAGTTCCATGTCGCTGTTTGCTGAGATGCTATGCGAGGGGGCGTTCGTTATCCACGAAATGTTCATTGTACTCAATAGTAAGTAAAAGGGATGGGAGCTCACAGAATATGGTGGCTTGCGCTGGTTCCGATTCCTCGGATGCCTGAATCATGTATAAAGTCACAGCAGCCGAATCATCGTCGGAGTCCCATTGTATGTCGAGTATCTCTCCTATGACATAAATCGGGTTGCTCCGAAAGTTTCCCGTTGGCCCCGCGCCTGGTGGTTGGCGAAAGACGTTTGCACTGCTACATATGCAAAACCAGAGACACAGAATAATTCTTGTGGCGAGGCGCATCATGAGAAAACAATTTAGTGTACACCGCTATAATGCGGACGAAGAGAAGCTGATGAACAAGTCAAAAATAAGAAACGTGAAAGAAATTTAAAGGGCTGAAAATCGCACAGGGACACTCAAATACATAGTTGAAAATGTCCTCTGGAGAGGGGAGGGGATCGGCTTGTCAGATCAGGCTGGCAAGATGAGGCTGGCGAGACCAATATTCTGCTGCACGTCAAGCATAAAAACCTGCAAACATGTGGACATCCTCCATCCATAATCCATTGCCTCCCTCCTTTATCGACCAAGATCCAACCGCATGTACAGTAATATCATCCGAAAATAGCAGGTGAAGGAGCACGTTGGCGGCGCGACACTGCCTGGAATCCTTCTTTCGGGATTACTACGACAGGCTCCAATACCAATCGCCCGCCGTCCACCGCCCATGTTATATGTGTTTCCTGTACGGAAGTGGAGGTGTGGCTTCTTGATCTGAGCTTGTTCCGTAGAGCCCGGGCGAGAGCCTTGTGGATGTATGCAATAGGAGGAAAAGGCCGTTTCTGGATCTGGGATATCAGGGCCTGTCAGTATAGCCTTTGAACAGTAGACGCGGCCTAGGAGAGTGGTCAGTTTTGTTTCGGTAGCAGCAAGAGCAAAGAGCTTTCATACCGAGAAGCGACAAGAAAAAGGAGAGAAACTGGGAATATGGTATAGAGTGTTTGGCTAAGACAGCAGCAGGCAGGCTATGATAGATAAGTAGGTTCTTTTGTCTTCTCCCAGCTAATTCCCTGATGTCAAAGGAGGTTGGGTATTGGAAACTTGGCAACTTGAACACCAGAGAATTGCACGGTGAGATTGAGAGCTGGAAGACCTTCACAACACCAAAGGGCCTTATGCCAAGTCCAACTACTGCATACCTTGCAGTGTGGAAATGATGGAGGCTACGTACTTTAGTAGTCCAGATTCAAAGCTACTGACAAATAGAACAAGTCGTTGATTATTAGATTCTACTCGGGATGCTGTATGGCTGTATATATCGAAAGAACCACACATCCATTTCACCCACCAACTTTTCTAATAACGCCCATCATTGCCTATGCCCTTCTCCCTCCTCCTCAGCAACAGCAACCTCATCCCCATCAATCCAAATCTCATGCCCATCCCCCTCCCAAACAGCCCAGCTCGCCATCACCCCCAACACCGCAACGCCCGCCAAGCCCCACCACACAGCACCCACAACTCCGCCCTCGAGCCCCCGTCCATAAAGCCACCCGCACAACACGGGCCCAATCGTCCTCGCCGCACTACTAACACTCTGCCCTAGCCCGTGAATCGTGCCCAACACAGACGGGTGCGGCGTACAGTTATTAATCAGAATCGTCTGCCCCGGCAGCGCAAACGTCCGTCCCAGAACTTGGAACAACAACACCCCGACAATAGCAAACCATATCGCCGGTCCGCCCTTCGGCCCCGGCGGGGGCGCGGCGTCGGTGGTGGGTACGACGGCCAGGTACGGCACCAAAAAATACGTCACCGGGAAGAAATACAAAAACAGGCGCCACGCTTTCACGGTGCCCAGGTGCGCTGACAGGCGCGGGTACACGAGCAGCTGAAGGCTGATGCCGATGACGCCGAGGATGGCCATGGCCATGCCGACGGACTGCGGGGGCATGCCGAGCCCGCCGGAGAAGCGGAAGGGGAGGTGGGGCGGGGCGGCGGAGGTCGGGGTCGAGAGGAAGACGAACCAGAGGGCGTTGAAGGTGCCGACGTGGAAGGCGAGGAAGAAGTGCGCGGAGAAGGTCATGAGGACGTTGCGGGTGAAGATGCGGCGGAAGGGGAGGCGGTGGCGGTATCGGGGGCGGGGTTTCTGTTTTGCTGGTGGTGGTGCGGATTCTGGGGAGAGTTCGACGTCGACGTCGGTTGTGCTTGCGGAGCTGGAGTGAAGGGGCGTGTAGGCTGCGTCGACGGCACTGCTGTTCAAACCCCTTCGTCGACGGGCGAGGATTCGGCGGACGAGGGAGGCGATGCTTGCTCCTACGCGGGATCCGAGGTCTGGGCCCTCTTCGCGGAGGGCGTCGTGCGTTTCCTCGAGGCAGAGCCAGACGGACAGGGCAGCGCAGGAGAGGAAGATTGCGCTGAGCAGGTTTGGCGTCGCATAGGGATATTTCCGGAAGAAAGCAACATCACTAAACAAGGAAGGGTAGCTGCCCGCCGGATCGGAGAGGATACCCCCCAAAATGGGCCCGATGATGACGCCAATGTTGAAGGTCATGGGCAGCAGAATAAAGGCGCGAGCTTGGAACTTCTTCTCGCGGACGATTTCGCTAATCATTGTCCGCAGGACGCCGACGTTGCCGTTTGTTGCGCCGCCTAGACAGCGGAAAAAGAGGGCCTGCGCAAAGGACTGGGAGAAGCCGAAGCCAATACAGGAGAAGCAGGTGCCGAGGAGGCCGATCATGAGGAC